CTATTGCAAGCACAAAATCACAGAATTAAGTTGGTAGGAGTAAAAGATCTAGGTTTCCACTCTTTTACTGCCTAGCACAGGATTCTTTCAAAATACAGACTTTCTGTTTGTTCAACTGCAAAAGAATTACTTTACAACAGTTGGTCCTCAGTGCAGGGAGAATGGGGACTGACCCCATTCTTGGCCAGAAAAACACCCCCAGAAAAGAGGAAAAACAGAGAAATAAGCTGAGCAAGGTGGAATAAAAACAACTTAGCTAGTTTACTTTTAAACTAGAGTTTAAAGTACTTACCTGAGCAGTTCCAGCTTTTGCTAGAAGGCTGGCCTATAAGGGATACAGCTTGGAAACAGCCCTGCTGGATCTGTAAACACTGAAGAAATAATGGCCATAGAGGAAGCTACTGCAAGGCCTGGGAAGGAACATCAACCAGACGGCCTCTTCCCGTTCAACAAGGAAAATACCCATTGTGGGGAGTTGTATGATGGCCAGGGCAGCTATCAAGGGAGCAACTCAAGCCCTGAGATTTGGGCAGGAGGGCTTGTACCCTGACCACACAGGGAAAAGCCTCCCGGTGGAGATAAGAAGAAAATTCTTCTTTCCCACTGATTCTTCAGAGGAGAACTAATGCCATTGCACCTGCTCCACAGAGAAACCAGAGGGGTGACCTCCCCCAAGGGATCTGGGTGTGTGACCACAGACAGGAGGCTGCCCCCAGACAAGGCTCAGGTTCCGGATTTCTCAAGACTGCCCAGACCCTTAAAGTCAATGATTATAGACAGAATAAGAACTAACAAGCTTACTCATAGACTCTGCTGACATTTTTGTTCCCTTCCTCAGCTTACCCTCTGGGCTAAATGAGAAAATAGCCTTCAATAAAAGCTGAGTGGAACAAACACTGGGGGCCACTCCCTGGAACTGCACAAGGTACAGGTGGTCCCCTGTGTTCCCACCTTTGAACACTCTATTCTGTGTGTCCCGTCTCTTTATCTCTTGCCACTTTTAACTTTATTTTTCTTCAGTTAATAGCTCCCAGTTCCACAGGTTTTAAAGGACCTTTCCCTGGGGCAGGACCCCAGCATTCAACAATGGAAAATTGACTGAGGCTCTTGCTGTCTCTTCACAGCCTCCAGAGTTCATTTTCACCTCATTTCCCCATCAAAACACAGCCAGGTTCTATGAGATGAAACGGTAAGACGGGAACAGCAATAACACCCACCTCCAGGCACTAAGACTAAACCCTGACTCTGTTGACAGATGTCTTCATCATCGATTTTGCATCCATTTATCAAATATTTATTATAGTACTAAAATTCGCAAATCAGTGTTTTGGAGCCTAAACAAATGCTAAAGAAAGATATCATTGTTCTCATAAGGATATGATACTTATGGCCTAGTAGGGTAAATATTCATTTATTTATTTATTCAACAAGTGTTACTGACTTTCAAAAACTAATCAGACTTCTGGTAGGTGTTGACCATCTTGTGGTGGACAGTTTCCTTGCTTATTATGATTGATGTCTGGCAGGGGATTAAATATCCAGTAATCACAAAAATAAATATAATTCATCTTGTATATATCACATAGGTTACCATTTACTAAAAGTGTAAACAAAACCTTCTGGCCTTGAAAGTCTGGGAGAGATTTCAAGAGAAAGTGACATCCAAGTTAATAACTGAAGATTGAATAGAAGTCAGTTAGTTAAAAGAATCTTCTTAGCAGAGGAGCAAACAAATACCACGTTTCTAGAGGAAACATGATTCATTAAAGAATTCAAAGAAGGCCACTGTGGCTCAAGTGGCAAGGACAAGAGGGAATAGTTAAGCTCAAGCTGCCGAGGGAGTCAATGAAAAGAACATTTGAGGCTCCACATTGAAAGCTTGTTGTTTATTCCTAAAAGCAATGAGTATTAGCAGATTGTTGTGAAACAGGCAAACAGCATGATTCTGTTGGAAATAGAGAACATTCCCAGTAAGCTATACAGACCAAAAATGGGAATGTGGCTAACAAGACTACTGTGACAGTTCAGTCATCCATATAGGAGATAATGTCATTTTTAAAGGTAGCAGTGAAGTTGAAAGAATGGATGGATTCAAAAGAAATTCAAGAAGTAAAATGGGAAGAATGAATGATTCTTTGGGTGTGGGGGAAATGAAAAAAGGGAGCTCCTGCACCTGCAGCTGCAAAACTGAATTATGATGGGGCATTCGCTACAGTGGGAATACCCAGCGGGGGGAGTTGTATAATGGCCAGGGCAGCTATCAGGGGAACAACTCTAGCCCTGAGATTTGTTCTCAGGGAACACTAGGAAACTACTGAAGTATTTCCCAGGAAATCCTAAAAAGGTCTACAGTTGGAAGGAGCAGAACATGAATGAAAGTTGGGTGTTGAGTGTTAGTTGCTTTGGGGACAATCAAGTGATGATACCAAGTGAGCAAGCAAACATCTGAGATGGAATTCAAGAGAAAAATGGGAATGTTGGCCAGGTAGATACAGGTCATTGAGCCTGCCAAGAAGACTGAGGAACCAAAGTGGTAGGGAAAGGTTTGTTAGAAGAGAGGCCCAGAAAGAAGGTGAGTTCAACAAGGCAAGTGTCGGGTGCAAATGCTGATGTTAGTTCACACACTTTGAGACAGAAGATGAAATACAATTCAACAGGATTGGCACTAAAATATAATTATAAAATTTCTGAGAAATGGGGCATTAGCTCTGTAAGAAAAAAAGGGGTTGAGAAAAGAAGTGATTTTTAAATCGTATTTTAGACATGAATAGGAGTTTCCAGGTAACACAATCAGTGAGTTAAAAGGCCATATTCTGAGGTTTTACTCCAGAGACAAAAAGGAAGTCTTCATTAGGCTAACAAGTATCCCAAAAGTCTATTCCTCACATTTTGATGCATAATCCAAGTGGTTTTTATGTAAGGGCTTCCACATCTTAACAGGGTAAAAGTAGACGTCCTTACCTGAAGCCAGTCTCTGTCACTGTCCCTAAAGCTCCCAAAATGTTTAAGTCAGAAAATGGAAGGAGAGAGAAAGAAAGATAACCTTCACCCAGCAACAAAAGTCATACAAAGTCTCAGACTTAAGGAATAAAAATTAGGGATTTGGGATGACATGAGCGAATATGATGGTTAATAACATTAAGAGAAAAGTTATAATGGGAAGATCAAATTACAACATAGGATAATTAAATAGATACATCAACATGAAAAGACAAAGGATTACTTTTCCCTCTCCCATTGTCTTCAGGGGGTCTTAAGTTAAGGGACCATGGCCAACTTTTAAGTAATAAGATGTGTGAACTAAAATAAAATCTTAAGTCTCCCCCCTCAGCAACTTACTGAGTGGACCCCCTCTTAGCCAAAAGGATCCCTAAAACTGAGTTGTTAGCCATGGGAAAGGAGATCAGACATGCCTCATCATGTCCCCATCCCAGCCTCCTTAGAGAAGTCCTTTGTGACTTACTAACAGGCCTAAGGCTGTGCAAGACCCACCCGCAGTTCCTCGGTATAACAAACACTCCAGTCTGTCCAGTACTTTGGCTCTAATTAGCAGACTCTTTACCTTAAGCATTCCTTTTCACTGATTCCCGGACTTCCAGACAGAACCTAACTCTTTCAGCCAATTATTTGCTAAAGAATCTTTAAACTCAATAAAAAAAAAGAAAAAAAAAAAAAAAGAATCTTTAAACTCACTTATAACCTGGCTTCCAGGTGTCCCACCTTTTAGGGCCAAGCCAGTGTATGCTTTCCAGGTATTAATTGATGACCTCACCCGTAATCCCTGTCTCCCCAAACTGTATAAAACCAAACTGTAACTCCACCAGCTCAAGTCCACGTGCTCAAGGCTTCTTCCCCGTGGCTCTGGGTCAAGGTCCTCAAATTTGGCTCAGATAAACCTCTTTCAATTATTTTACAGAGTCTAGCTTCTTTTCTGTTGACACAGAGCATCTTTTAAAGAATCCACAAATGCGGAATCCCAATTTGTAGGACTAAGGTCGCAGTTTCACGTGTTGATACACTAAACTGAGGATATATTAAAGACAAATGAATATCTAATACTAGAACAGTTGGTTTAGAGTCACAGCACAAGGATGCCTGCCCACAAAAATATAATAATACAATTTCTTATTTTGTTCACAAGACAAATCAGGAATAACTAGTTTTGCATCCATCACCTGTAATTACCAAAAAAAAAATTAGTAAAGCCTTCATAGTGCCCCTCCTTCTTTCCATGTTTTCACATTTGTGTGGCAGTCATCAGTTATTTCATATTTTGTGCATTTTTAGATTTTGAGCTTTTATAATAGAAAACTAAGTTTATTTACCTTTTCTTCATTTATCTGGCGCTCTCACTGAAACCGCATTGAATCGTGTGGATAATGTTAAATTGCCTACTGTCTTAATATGGGCCCGCAGAAGCAAGGTGGGAATAAATTGTAATCTGAAATCACGGTTATTTGTAATTGTTCAGACTTGTTAAATTTTGTGGAAGCACAAACGCATTAGGGATGATCAATGACTTGATGGATCATTTCACCCTACTGCGTCTCCCTAACCGTGCGTGTACCCTGGTTTCATTCCTTCTTTTGTGTGACAAATTTGTAATGTTTTTCACCCAATACAAGGTGGGATCTGAGAATGAGAGCAACATCTCTGAAGGAAAGCCTATGTATTACAAATTATATAATATAATGCATCCCTTTCAGGAAAAAAAAAAAAAAGAGAGAGCGCGAGTGAGAAGGAATCATTTCCTTTAGGCCATCTGCAAAGGGTCCAAGGTAGGGATTTTGCTGAGTCTGATCTGCAGAGACAGGTCTGTATATCCACAATAGAGAGATGATGGGAAACCATTAAAGGGTGTGGCCTAACGCGACTAAGCTGAGCAGAGGGACCCTGGGGTGTGGAGGTGAATGGGGGTGAGGACACCAAGAGGTTGATGGGTGAGGAGCCGGCTGTCCGTGTGCCAGCGGGCGGACACACCCTGGGCCGCGAGGCGGTACCTGCGCGGGGTCGAGCGCCCCTGCCACCGAATCCCCGATCCAGAGATGCTCCCGGAGAAGCTGCTGGTAGCTGAGGCAGTGCTTCACTGCGGATGGCACATTCCCCATGGCGGAGCCCGGGGCCGCAGCCGGCGAGGGGACAGAGCCTGCAGGAGGATGGGGCGGGCCCCGCGCCGGGAGGTGGCTGGCGGCGGGCCGTGGGGACCCGACCTGCGCTGCTGCGCACTGCGGCGGCGCCGGGAGGGCGGCAGCGCCGGGGCCAGGGGCCGGGGCCCAGGGCCACCGGGCGCTGGGCGGCAGCCGGGGCCAGGGGCCGTGGCCACCGGGCGCAGGAGCACCTGCAGCCAACCCCGGAAAGGCAGGGCACCGGCAGGAGGGAGGTGGGACCGAGCCAGAGCGCGCTCAGGGCTAGCTGGTTTTCCTCACAATGCTGAGCGCTCCAGGCCAGGTCAACCCGGGGCGACAGAGTGACACACTTATCTCAAAAAAAAAAAAAAAAAATCGCTAGCAGCATCTACACATGCCCAGCTAGCGACGGGTTCAGAACAACATACACAGAAGGAAAGGCGCCTAAAATAAAAAGAAGGGGCTCGCTCTACGTTGTGCGCTCACCCCCAGCCACAGCCTGCCGTGCGCAGCGCGGGGTTGTTCCCCTGTCGAGCTCGCCTGAGCGTATGCTTTGTGACAACAGACTCGACTGGCGACCTTAAAATATATTCGGCAGTCGCACAGAAGATCCTCAGAGGTGCCAGGGGTAGTGCCCGCCGGAGGTATGCTGGTGAATCAGGAGTTGCCGGGACGTTGGTGCTGCATTAAATGGCAAAAATTAGAACTGAGGTTTTGTTTCGTTCTTTTGTTTTCTAGAATATTACGAAGTTACACATGCTTCGATTACAAGAATGGTGTACAGCTGGAGTTAAAAGTTGTTAAGTGTGCCCGTCACTAGGGTAGTGTGCGTTGTACTGTTAGGTGTGGACTGAGTCCTCGCCTTCCCCTCCCAGCCACTTGCTTTCCATTGAGTTTTATCACCATATCTGCACGAGTGTTGGTCAGATAGTTCCCGTGAACCACAAGAACACGTGGTGGTTGTTTTCCATTCTGACAAAACTTCACTAAGGAAAATGGTCTGTAGTTCCATCCAGGTTGTTACAAAACCACCTGTTGCTAGTTCGCTCTTTTTTATTTTATGGCTGAGTAGTACTCCATAATATACCCCATAATATACCCCTTTTTTTAATTTCCTCAGAATAGGTACCAGGTTAAGAAACCTGGGTTCCACCAGGACAGCAAAGAAATCACTTGCTAAAAACCCCCAAAGCTGTCGAGTGCCGCGTCCCGAATCTGCACTGTACTTTTCACCGCATCATACATCTAAGCCATTTCTATTTGGTTGCCTTTCTGTCATTAGAGTGTAAGAACACATACACATTCATTGCATATCAAAATGGATTAGGGCCGAGCACCATAGCTCATACCTGTGATCGCAGCACTTTGGGAGGCAGAGGCAGGTGGATCGCCTGAGCTCAGGAGTTCCAGACCAGCCTGAGCAAGAGAGAGACCCCATCTCTAAAAATAGCAACGAGTTTTGACAGACTCCTATAGTCCCATGGCTGAGGTAAGAAGATCACTTGAGCCCAAGAGTTTGAGGTTGTTATGAGCTACCAAGCCATGGCACTCTACTGAAGGTGACAAAGTGAGACTCTATCTCAAAAAAAGAAAGGAGAAAATAGGCCTGTATAAAGTATTATGGCAATATGGAAAAGAAGTTGCTTACTTCTATCAGTGGTTCGGGCCTGTAATCCTAGTACTCTGGGAAGCCAAAGCAGGTAAATTGCTTGAGCTAAGGAGTTTGAGCCCAGCCTGAGCAAGAGCAAGACCCCATTTATGCTAAGAAAAGAAAAATTAGCCAGGCTTGGTAGCACATGCCTGTAGTCCCAGCTAATTGGGAGGCTGAGACAGGGGACCACTTAAGCCCAAGAGTTTGAAGTTACTATAAGCTAGGAGGCCACAGCACTTTATCCAGGGCACAGAGTAAGATGCTGTCTCAAAAAAAGAAAAAAATGAATTAAACTTCTTACTCTCTCTAGTGACTTTACTGATGATTTTGTTATGTACAAAAAACATTCAGTCCCTTCTCTCCTGAATTGTTTTCAACTCCCTTTTCTCCTTAAAACACTAGCTCGAATCCACTCTGTCAGTAAGAGTTACTGGTTAAACATTTTGAACCCATTTTCTCTCTTTCTCTTGCTATGAGCTTTTTCCCTGTGACACTTCTCTCTTGAGCAGGCAGCTCCGTAACACAGTGTGAAGTACCCAAGGGCTGGCCTTAGGTCACCAGTGATGGGAACCCAGCTTCACCAGGTACTGAGTGATCCTGGGCGTGTTCTTTGGCCTCTGTTTCCTTATCTACAAAAGGGTGATGATAGTAGTTCCCATCTGTTGCAAAAACCAAATGAACTAGAATCTATAAAGTGCCTCCAGTAAATGTTAGCTATTACTACAGTAGCCTGGTTCTCTTTGTTAATTTGTACTGACCAACTGACACTGTACAGCCAGAGTGATTTTTGAAAATTCATATCAGACTAACACCTCAGAGCTTAACATTCTTAGAGGTTTCCCGTAACCTTTGGAGAGGTTATGCTTCTTCAAATGGCTCATTTAAATTTTCACGATGAAACGCTTTGAAACATTTCAAGTTTCGGCTCCTACTCTTTTTCTAAATTTATTCGTAACTTTAGCAATATAAACGTACATAATTCCTCAAGTTTCAGGATTCTCTCACGTCCTGCCATTCTAGCTCTATCCTTTGGTATAGATATTTTGAGAAATACCGAAGAGTCATAAAGGTATAAGTGGAATCACTCAGAATTCTCATTCTAGAAATATTTTGATATATTTCCTTTGAGAGAGAAAAAAAAATATTTCCTCCATGCGCTTTTTATTCTGCCCTTTTTCTTTGACTTAAATTCTTTGACCATTTTATGTTAATATAAATGATTTGAAACCTGGGGGACCTGTAGCCTCAAGGCCACATGTGACCCTCCAGATCCCCAAGGGTGGCCCTTCAACCAAATCTAAATTTCACAGAGCAAAATCCTTCACTAAACTGATTTGTTCTGTCAACCTGGGATTCAGTCAGGGACCCGGAGGCTGCATGTGGCCCCAATCCCACAGGTTCTCTACCCCAGTGAAAAATTCTCATTATCTATTAAAAGGCGTTTTGCTTTGTGCATAGAGTATTTCTTTGTATGGTTGGTAATTTGCTTGTATAAAGGTATTTTTTGATGACAGTTTCTTTTTCCCATGGAAATCTTGTAAGAGTCATTTAATATCCCTAAAGGATGATTTTTATTCTTGCTTATTTGGGATTTCCAATGAGTTTGACTTGGTGGTACTAAGATTTTTTTTGTTGTTGTTGTTAACATCTTTGTTTGGGGTATCTTAAAGCTGCCATCAATCCAAAACTTAAAACCATGCATGATGGCACTGGTTTTTACTTTTCTTGGAGAATATAATTTCTCACCCAGAGAGCCAGATGGACTTTTTCTACCTCCCATGTGTGCCATAGCCCATTGAGATTAGTGACTTGTGCTCATGGTTCAATTATCTACCTGTCCTCACATGGCCCTGGGCTTAAGTGTACCTTCCTGTGTGGTGTTTCAAAGCTCAACCCTGAACTGCCAAGGTCTGTGCCCCCTTGTGAGACTATTGGTAATATTTAGCTCCTGAGTCTGTACTTGATATCTGTGTTTGGGGTAAGAGGCAAATCTCTCAGAGCAGCTGAGTCCTCTGTATTTTCAAGAATTCTGAATGGAATTTTTCTCTATGATTATTGTGTTTTTTTCATATTTTTCAATGCATTATCAAGTTTCTATCACATCTAACACAGTAAGTGCAGGAAACAGGAACTGAGAACACTGAACTAGGAATTAAACTAAGAACTGGACAAAAATGCTGAATTTATCTCCGAGGGCCAGAGAAGCTCATGCCATAGTTCTGATGTCTTGACTAACCCACAAGAAAGAAAGCTAGACAGAAGCCACATATTCTCTGTGCCCCCTCCCACCCTTCCCCTCTCTCTTCTTTGTCCAAAGTGATCACAATAAATTACTACCCATAGTAAATTATAGGGTTGTGAATTGCTGACATCCATTAAAAAAGACCCTCAAAAACAGAGTAAGGGATTTTTATTCCAAAGACCAGTCAACCCTTAACTAGGTAGACTGACTATATCAGTTTTCTCAAGCATCAAGTACTTGGTTAAAAAGGGAGAAAGGTCTAGGTAAAGCAGGTTGATGTCTTGCGAGGCTCTTTGGTCCCAACAATGGCTATTTACAGTCTATATGCTGACAGCATAAGTAGAATCAGAAGCAAGTGAACAAATCAAAGTTCTTATAGTAATAAGTGCCAAACTGGCCTGTAGCCAAGGTATCTACTGGGCAGGGATCAAAGCCACATATGGTGAATCTCAAACAATGATGCCGTAGAACTTTGGCAAGAATCACATGAGTAATGTGCTACAGCCACAAACAATAAAAAAGAAAGGACGAGAACAACTTGGTTACCAATGCTGGATGATACCTAGGGGGAAGCACAACTTTCATCATCTCAATTTTATTGCTGAAAAATTTAGATAACTTCTCACATATGTTATGTCTGGCTGGTCTAAAGTGATGGGAAAGATAACAGAGTGTGTTAAAAACATTCTTGGCATTTGGTCACAAAAATCAAAGTTCCATCAACAATAGCATTGTTCTAAAATAAAGCATTCTTTTGAGAATAAGTAATGAGTTCCATTTTACCAAAATAACACCACACCCCAGGTGATGGATACCTGGCACTAAATACTGAAATCAGAACAAAGCCATAAACCACATTTCTCCAGATGTAAGAATCTATTTCTTCTCTCACTAATTCAGAAGGATTGCACAGCATTACCTTTGCCAGTATATTTACAATTCTATTGCAAAATAAAAGACACAGACAGGGGCTGTTGATTAACAATTATACTTCATTAGATGGCTGTAGGGCACACAGTTTCTGCCAGTGGATGTAAAAGTGTCTCTTCATGCCCTGCAAATTCAAACTTGATTTGGAAATGTTTTTATCAATCATTGGATACATTTTGGTGAGTTACAATAT